GGGGGGGGGGGGGGGGGGGGGGGGGGGGGGGGGGGGGGGGGGATCCGGGTAGGGTATGTCGTTGTATGCTCTATCGTCGGCGACAGCCTTCGTGGGGGTGGAGGCACCGCGGATGGGCGCTGGGGGTGGTTGAGGCGTCGGAGGATTGTCGTTGTGTTGTGCTCTGTTGTATTTATTTAGTTCTTGTCACTCCGTCAAGACCCGCAGGGGGCCGAACTTAAGGGTGTCGTACCTGTCCTCGGTGCGAATAAGGAAAATCTCGACACGACAAGTCGTCCGCGATGGCCTGCAGCCGAAAAAAACACGGGTCTCCATACGACAGCTGTGCCCACAAACAGCAGGCATCCATCAGAACCCACGGACTCCCATTCCCCTGCCTCGCTTGGGCTTTGAAGCCCCGTGACTAATCGCACCTTTCTTACCGGCGAGGGCCTTGGAGAGAGACGCTGTGTGTGGCGGTGATCTTGATGCGCGAAGACCAACAATATCAACAGAAGCCAGCACCAGTAACACCAGTACCAGCTGAAGGAAGACAGCGCGAGGCATCGACCCAGCCTCGCGCATCAAGGCTTGTGGCGATACCACGCGAAGAGCCAGGCGGCAGTAAACAGAACTTTCCGGCAAACCCCACGCGTACATGCGACTCTGTCTGGGAATATAGGGACCATTGTGGCAATCCGCGCGTCATTCCGAATGGCCCCATGTATTTTCGACCGAGTTCTACGTTATACTTCCGACAACAAGACAGACTCCTGCCATTCTACCATCGCGACTATTGGAGACACTGTCCTCTCACCTCATCCTCGTCGCTGAACCCCTGGGCCCACATCGCCGCCCACGGCTCCCCCTGAAGCCCGATCCTCTTCCTGGGTCTCTTCTTGGACTTGGTCTTCTGCTGTGCCCCCGCCCCTGCACCCGCCGCCGCCGAACCCTCTTGGGCTGCTCCGCCGCCGCTCCTGTCACCCCGACCGATAGGGCGCTTTTTCACCGCCAATGCACCACCTTTCCTGGGTGTGGAGGAGGCAGGCGCTGGCCGTGATGACTCTTTCGTTGATTCTGAGGCACCAGAGACAGCGGACTTTTTCAGCCTACGCCGCCCGGTCTCCTGCCCCTCCTGCGTAGAAGCAGCAGCAGCAGCAGCAGCAGCAGCAGCAGCAGCAGCATCGCTTCGGCTAGCGCCTTTCCTGCTGCTGCTTCGCAGAGACGACGAAGGAGCACCCCTGCAGCTATCGCCACCGCCACCGTCCCTGCCCCCACCGGTGGTTCCTTCCTTTCCATTCCTTCGCAGGGTAGCAGGTGATGACGCACCGCCACCGCTACCTTTACTGCTCCCCTTCCCCGCCTTGGTAGCAGCGTTGGCCTTCTTCCCCCTGTTCCCGCCCCCGTCTCCCCAGTCGCCCCCGCGCCGGAGGCGTTCTCGCGTTGACACGCCACCGCCTTCGCAGCCGCCGCCGCCGCCGCCGCCGCCGCCGCCGCCGCCACGTGTTCCTACATTCCCCCTCCTCCCTGTTCGATTGGCAACCCCGGAGATGGCTTTTCCCGCCTCACGCTCCTCTTCCTCGCCGGGCATCTCCACCGGTTTCGCTGCCCCCGCCGCTGCAACGCTCCGGTGCCTGCGGCCGCTGCCGTGACCGCTACCATTGCTCCCCCCCCCGCCATCGCCGTCGCCCTTCGGGGCCCCTTCTGTCCCCGATTCGTCAGACAACAACCGGGGACTGCTTCGTTTTCCTCCTCTCCCCCTCTTCTCTGCTGCGGGCGGCACGGCAGCAGCCCCAGCGCCCTCCGGAGCGCGGCCTACCTCGCCTCCGCAAGCGGCCGCGGTCTTAGACGACGACGGCGTCGGCGGGGCGCGCTGCTGCAGGTGGTGGTTCTGCCGGGCCCTCGAATTAGGGAGGCGTGCGCTAGGACTGCCGGTGGTCCCTCCTGTGGTGGCGTCGCGGCAGGTAGACGTGAGAAGAACGGCGACTGGCGCGGCGGAGTTGGGGGGGCGACCGCGCCCCCGACCCCGGGGGTCATTGCTCGGGGTGCCGGCCTTGGAGAAGGTGACCGGGCCGGTATTCTTACCGTCTTGGCCGTTGTAAATCTGCCCGTACAAAACCAAAAATTTGCCGCATGTCGTCAAAGGGACTGACAAGCCCGTGCCTACGCCCAAACAACGACAAGACGTACCTAGCTACTAAATAGGCGGATTCGAGCGAAACGAAGTCGAAACTGGTACGCATATGGATGACAACCTGAAAGTATGCAAGTGGACGGTTGCAAGGGTGTTGACTCGAACAGATCCCCACCCCCCCCAGCCCCCGCGCACGGCCGCACTCACCCCACAATCGCTGCTCACCTCATACTTCCCCTTCGCCAGGAAAGCCCGGAGCTCCCGGCGCATCGGCGCCGACACCCCCCCGATCATGTTCCCGCTCTTGGGCTCCCACACGGCCACCCTGTGTGTCTCCTCGCCCGCATAAGGGTCCCAGGTCTTCCCCCCCTCCAGCAACACGACCATCGGAGCCGCCTTCCCCAAACCAGAGCCCTCGTTTGGTTGCGGTTGGACGCCCGCCGCGGCCCTCCTAAGCCGTGCCCTCGTGGGGGGTCCCGCCGGCAGGGTTGCCAGCGGCGCTTCCATCCGCGCGCCCTCCTCCGGCGGTGCCCCTTGCCCTTGAGCTTCGGTCTTATCTCCGAGCCTGGCCTTGTTGGCGTCTCGTTCTGGCGTATTCGTCGGGGACGAGGATGAAGCGGTCGGCGAAGCTGTCGAGGAGGCCTTCGGTGAGCTGGTCGGCGAAAGCGCCGCAGTCTTCTCGTGGCCCGTCGTCGCCGTCGCCACCACGCCATTCTTCGGAGCGTCAGCGGCGTCCTCCGCCTTTTCGCTTCCCGCCCTGGCCGTCTGCTTCGCCGTCAACACAGCAGCAGCACCGGGGTCCCCGCCGTCGTCGACGCTACTAGCACCCCACTCCCCGCCAAGGTCGCTAAAGCTCCCTGACGCTTGTGCACCGTTCTCCGAACCGTTCTTCAGAGTGGTGCCGCTGCGCACCGTCCGCCTTGTATTTCGTGTGCCGGTGGATGACGGCTCCGTCGTAGTGGGGGGCACGCTACCCGCGCGCGGCGATACCCTCCTCCTCGGAGGGCGGTCGGTGTCTTGCCTATCGACGGCCGCAGCAGCAGGAGCGCCGTCCAAGGTGTCGCCGCCAGCAGCCCCTTCCGTTGCCTTGTGCGGAGGCTGGTCCTTGTCCGAGACCGTGGGCTCAGCAGAGACAGCAGCAGCAGCAGCAGCGCCGGCGCAAACAACAGCGCCTTCTGTAGATGATGACCGCTCCTCGTCCTCTTCCCCTCTCGTTCCGCCACCGCCACTCTCTCCGTCGCCGCCCCCCGCCTCTGCCCCAGGCCCCTCAGAAAATATTACACGTTCTTGCTCGGCATCTTTCTGTGCCCCCCCGTCACCTTTGGCAACCGTGGCGGGTGCTCTATCCGGGCTGCGTTGACCCTTCATTCCCGTTACCGGTAGCACCTCCTTCGACACTGCAGTCTCCGTTTGTTCCGCTCCGGCCGTGTTATTCGCCTCCGCCGCCTCCGCGTCTCCCTGCGTTGCATCGCTGGCGTCATCAGCAGGTTCCGCGTCATCTTTTCGCTTCGCGTGAGCCCCGGCTGTCTCGTCGGCCTCCTCGTTCTGATTCTTGTTGGCAGAACCAGCACACGGCCCTCCTTCTGCCTGCTCATCCTCTTCTTTCTCCAATTCCTCTTGCTCCCCATCCTGATCGTCCTCCCCCCCCCCCCCCCCCNCTTCCTCCCCCTCCTCCTGCTGCTGCTGTTCCTCCTCCCTCTCATGCGACGAGGAAGACTCCCCTTCTTCCCACGCCGACTGGTCCGTGTCGTCGTCCGGTGCATCGATGAGCCCCTCCAACTGCTCAACATCTCCTGCATGTTCGAAATCCTCATCCCCCTCATCCTCATCCTCATCCTCCTGATCCTCCTCCTCATCCTCCTTCCCACCCTGCTCCTGGCCATGCTCAGTATCGCCCGTCCGTACTCTCGGACCACGGAACCCACTACCATCACCATCGGCGTCGGAACCAACACCTCCGCCACCGCCGCCGCTGTCCTTCGAGCTCCGCCGCCCCCCGTGCCGTTCTCCCTGCCAGCAGCCCCCGCCGCCTCCAACGCCGTCGAACTCCTCGTCCTCTTCTTCGGACGAAGGGGTCCCAGGGTGACGCTGCCGCCACTCCCCCCCCCCCCCCCCCC